AATGCATGGAAACATCATTGGGATGGTCGTGATGGTGTTGGGCACAATGCATGGCACAGGTGCTAACAGAGCTGCTGTGAGTTTGCTCCCTGGCTCCTGCTCCAGTCAATTTAGTGACAGCAAGGGAGGTGGAGGCAGTGCAAGGAACAATGTCCTTTAATAAATTACAACACTGAACTGAAAGTTGAATGAAAGCCAGAAATGTCCTGTTCTTGCCTGGTGAAGCGGTAGCCAAAACAATGTTTCAACAAGCAGTAGCAAACCAGTGTAACTTATGCTCACGAACCAAAGATCAGTCCAAGGTTGTGGCCAGGGTTGGTGCAGGGTGGAGGGGAAGTCTCTGCTTTTGATTCCTTGTTTTTTCCAAAACAGTAATGAAACCAGTGGGGGTTTTTTTGTTTTGTTTTTCTGATGTTGTATTAAAATGCAGGTTGCTTCTGCCCTGTGCTTTTTTCTGGAAGATTTTAGGGACAACTAGGGTATGTCAACCCCACTTCCCCAGAGCTCCTGGGAACATTGATTTTGGGCATGTTCTGCCAGTCTGCATGTGGCAAACATAGGAATGAGTTGCTGATGAATGAAGCTGTCCCTCCATGGCCTCTCTCCAGCACACAGGGGAGTCCATGAGTGGTAGCAGGGATTGCCCTCAGTGCAGCTTCAGGGCCTCATTTTGTGGGGAGGTGGTGGGTGTGAGTGGAAGGGAAGGGATCACTTGTGAATCGCACACCCAGAAATATTGGAGAAGTGATGTAGACAAACCACAAGAGTATTAAGATGCCTTTAGCATCTGAGCTGTCAAGGGACTGAAACTTAAATAGCAAGGAAGTGAGGGGTTTTTACTCAGACTGTTTAAAACCCCTCCATTTTCATCCATTCAATTGAACTGTCAGACAGGCAGATGGGAAGAATAGCCCTTTGTGAATGATGCAGTTTTCTAGCCTTCTGCTGAGTGCAAAACAAGGAAACCTTGCTATTTTGAAAGGTAAAGACAAACCCAACTCTTTCTCGTACACCCTGCCACCCCAAAAAATAATGAAACCAAAAAAAAAACCCAACCTGTTCGGACCTTTTAACTATCTTAGATAAAAATACAGTAGCACATCTTTGTTTCATTTGCAGGCTGCCAATAAGGCACTTGGGTTTTTATCATCATAAGTGTTTCTTGCAAATCAAGGGAAGCGAGTCTTCCTCTCTATTCAGCATGGCTGAGCCCTTCACCAGTTTGGGGACCCACACTTCAAGTGGAAAATAGCAAAAATGATTAGAGACCTGGGAAACGTGGGTTATGGGGAAAGGCTGAAAGACCTAGGATCGTTTTCACAGTTTCATAGTTTCATAGGGTCGGAAGGGACCTGAGCAGATCATCTAGTCCGACCCCCTGCCATGGCAGGAAGAGCACTGGGGTCAAACGACCCCAGTAAGGTGGTCATCCAACCTCCTCTTAAAAACCCCCAGGGTGGGAGCCTGCACCACCTCACTTGGAAGCTGGTTCCAGACCCTAGCCGCCCTGACCGTGAAGT